TGCTTAGGAGAGAAAGTGACATCAGCCAAGGAGAGCATTATTGAATCAATCTGGAAATACGAAAAAGGAAAGTTGTCGTGAATTTGGTACACAAATGCACCTGCTGCAGTCTTTATAAGCTATTATTCGCATATATCTGACAAATATATTTTAAAGTAAAGTTAATGTGCTCGTCTGTAAAGTTACAGGCCAAAGGTTTGATATCCATTGATGCAAACCCAATGGGTGGTTAAATTTCTAAACGACGAGTCTTCGTGAAGTCCAAGGCAAGACGAATGTAAAAAAAGAACATCAATTGGATTTTTGAATAATAAAGGTGTGAAAATCACGCTGGAAATAATGTTAAAGGCCATATTTTAAGAAATATGTTGACCTCTAGCAGGAAGCAGCAAGTCTTCTCAAGGCATAATGTGGGTAAATAATTCCATTTAATAGGTCAATGATGGAACAACAAGCCCATCGTGACGAAAATACCATTTTGGAGTTATACTTTAAAAAGATCAGAAGAGAAATAATCACAGTTTACAATTTAAGCAATTCTAGACCATTCTAGACTAAGATAATAAAGCACTCTTTAGAAGTAAACGTAGACTAGTCACTGGTCGAAAGCCTAGTAGCTGTAGAATTTCCGTTTCAAAGCGTTCTACTTCTTACTTCAATAGACAGCTTTCATTAAGCTTAGATTCATCAGATTTTAAATTATAGATCTTTCGGATGAGGAGGTTCCACCAACTTCTCCTTGTTCTCCTTAAGGTGAGATAAATTGCAGATGACGTCCAAATGGAAACTGGGATACTAAAATAAGGATACGAGTCACTTTGTGGAAGAAAGTTCAAGTGTAAGAAGGAAGTGCAAAATTTAACACCGATGCCTAACGTGAAACTTTCAGTGAGGTGTCTCCGTCAAACTAGGAGCTACTTTAAACACATAGCCACGGAATATAAATAGCACATGTTTACGTAGCAATAAAAAAGTAAATTTAACAGCAGATTATCCAACTTGCCATTGCTGACGCGGTACCATCTAAATGCAGAGATGGTGAAACGAAGGCGCTACAAAATAAAAAGGAAATTAATAAATAAAGACCAAAAAGACAGGGATAGGGCAAATATGGAGAAATGAATCAATTTAGGAGGGATATGTAACCGTGGTAGGCATTGACGTTAAAAACACAAAATGAAAGTTATACAATCTAATTAATGTGCCATCCAGTTGTAGTATTCAAAAATCCAGCTGTCGATTTAGATACACCACTATGCAGAAGCACTAAGCCAATTATGTTGCCCGGATACGAAATTCACCAAAGGGGTATTCCTTTTGGACTCACAGTCAGCAATAAACTCAATTGAAAACAGAGAGCCAACCAAAACAGCTGAGACATATGAATGTAAAAAACTGTATCAGCTGCTGAGAGAAAAAAAACCAAATGGTAGTCTCATTGGCATTAAAGACAATGGGCTTGCTGACACACTTGCTAAGAACGGGACTACAATTTTACAAGGCATAGACCGGTCGATGTCTTTCCACACAATGAAGAACTTAATCAGGAAACCGGCCGATGTCTTTCCACACAATGAAGGCCTTGATCAGAAGAGAATTTCAGACCTCAAGATGCAACGAACTCAAAGCTCGAACAAAGGAGAAATAGTGGACAGTGGCACTCTCCGAATAGAGGAGAAATAGTGGACAGTGGCACTCTCCGACATACCCGGCTGGCGAGAATCGAAGCCGTTGCTGAGTTTAGACTACGTATCGGACAGTCCACACAATGAAGGCCTTAATCAGGAGAGAATTCATGTAATGAAGGCCTTAATCAGGAGAGAATTCCAGACCATACCAACGAACTCAAAGCTCGAACAAAGGAGAAACAGTGGACAGTGGAAACTAAAGCTCGAACGAAGGAGAAACAGTGGACAGTGACACTAAGCTCGTACAAAGGAGAAACAGTGGACAGTGGCACTCTCCGATTAGAGGAGAAATAGTGGACAGTGGCACTCTCCGACATACCCGGCTGGCGAGAATCGAAGCCGTTGCTGAGTTTAGACTACGTATCGGACAGTCCACACAATGAAGGCCTTAATCAGGAGAGAATTCATGTTACCAACGAACTCAAAGCTCGAACAAAGGAGAAACAGTGGACAGTGGAAACTAAAGCTCGAACAAAGGAGAAACAGTGGACAGTGGCACTCACCGACATAGCCGGCTGGCCAAGAATAGAAGCCGTTGTTGAGTTTAGACCACGTACCGGACACGATTTTTTGGCAAAACACCTTCACAGATTGGGAGTATACACTCAACCAACATGCCTCCTATGTAACCTACAGGAGGAAATGGAGAAGACCCACCTGATTCGGTGTCCAGCTCTAAAGACAACGACGGAAACCCAGAGATATTTGGAAGCCAGAAGACAGCTAATGAACTGCTATTAATTAATTTCTATATATGTACCCCAACCCCCCACCCACGGGGAAAGCTGAAGTCAACTAAGGGGCTAATGGTAAATATCATAAAGCCTGCCATTTGAAATAATTATAATTATGCAGAAAGTAGTTAGTGGAAATATCCAATACAAAAAGCCACTAGTAATAATACTCGAGCTCCAAAAGGTAAGTTGGTAGGGCAAGGACTTACGCAGTGTCTTCTCCGAGACTATGAAGTTCAATGAGTTTGGCACGCTGTTCAGTCTCAATAGACGCAAACATTTCACGGAGAAGATCAGCAAAGGCAGCATACTGCAGTGGTGTCAAATTGAGATCCATTGAGAGTTGCAGGAGATGTGGAATGCATTTAGAGGCTAAGCAGTCCCGCGAGACACCCAGCTTCTTATGGCTGAAGGATATCTGGTAGATGGCTGAAAGGAATAAAGGCTTACTAACCGTGCATTAAACTGAAAAATGTATACTCTTAGAAATGCCAAAGCTCACACCAATGGTGACCGTTTTTCAACACCACATCATGTCAGTTTCGCTGCAGATCCTTTTCCAATGCAAGTATTAACGACGTACATTATCGCAAATATTGATTGATTTAGATGCATGCCAACGTAGTATTTTGGCTAAGTTTAAAGAATATGAGGCCACAAGACTCAAAATATCAGGATAAATAATGTGCATTTTTTAGAAATTGGTGAGTTTTTTGACAATTATCTTTTAAAAGACCTGAGACAATAGATTTTTGGAAGCGTTGCAAGAGGCATTTTCCAGGAATTTCAATACAATAAATGCTAGTTTTAGGACAGAACATGGGCCTAGGAAGAAAATACACGCAGCATGCGCAAGATGAATAAAATAGGATCAAATACCAATTTCGATCAATGCTAGAGAGAAATAAGACACTTGTGGGAATAACAAAAAAATACACACCCCTTAGGAAGCCTGAAGTGCTCCTTTTCAAACACCTAGTCAAATAGAAAACAAGTATCGACTACCAGAAACCAATCATATTAGCAGCTTACCAAGTACAGCGACAATGATTCTTGGTTCCCTGGATCGTATTTCAGATAAGAAAGGAAGAACATCATCCATAACACTCCACTTGTCCAAGAATTCCAGTAGCTTCCCCATGCAGACTAAAATCTCCAAACGCGTCTGTGCATACAGGATGAGACAATTTTAAGCAGGATGAAACACTTATTAGAAGATACTGAGGGTGAGCTTACATTAACCAGCTCAACTCGAGCATAGACCTTCTTCAAGCGTGGGATAATGTTGCTCTTCAGAATGCTGAAATCCATTAGTTGGGCCACTTCTGGAAGGCTGCGTAGACAAAGCTCCTACAAGGTACAACATCAGGCTCAAATTAGAAGGCGATCATTGTCACCCGTACATTAATTAATTGTCATTAATTACTTATTAGACAATTCCGGTAACTTAATAGTCCTAGTCATAAAAAAGATTAGTATCAAATCAGGAGGCATAATATAGGAAACATCTTTAGTTCGAGTTCACACATCATATTGTTTTAAGCAATTGATACATGTTGCAGTAGAAATATCAAACTCAATATTTTCCCAGAGCCTTATCAAACCATGTTAATTATCTTTAATCAGCACTAAATAACAGTTAA